ACATGCATATAAATATACACACTAATATATACTCGTATACATACGTACATACAAACATATATGCATATATACAAACATATGTGAAAATTCAACCAGCTAGCTTTTCCAAAACGCTACGCCAGCCGCTTGCAACTACGATTTTCCCTGAGTATTTGCCACCAACCAAACGCAGCGCGCACACGCACGCCAATTGACAGTCGTTAAGATTTATTGCCGGCTATAAGCAAATTTGCGCAAATCTCTAATTCGTAGGAAAATAAATTAAGTATATGAACTTTTGAATGACTTACTAAGTAAAGCACTGTAAGCGCAGAAAATTAATATAAACAGCAGTCAATAAATCATTGGTGGCTTCACAGTTGACTGCAGACACACATATACGCATGCGCAGAGTGTGTTGCCAGTGAAATAGCAACAACAAAATTGCGCTGCTGCGACCATTACTCGCAACAGTATCGGCGGCTCCTTGCGGAAATCTAGCGCGTTTAGTCTGCAAATGACCAAACCCAAACTGCGGCAAACAAAAAGCAGCAACAACAATTTGGCCAAAAAAATGAGTAAATCACACGTTTTTGTGACGGTTGTCAAAGGCGTGAATTTTGTCTGTCATTCGACTTGCGAAAGTAAACCGGTAACGCCGTCACTGTTATAGTGTTTTGACGCTGAATAGAGTGGCAAGTGTGTGTATGTTTGTGTGAAAATTGTGAAAAAATTATATCCGCGCTGGGCGGTGTGGCATGCAGTGAAATATATCTGCAAACACATTTATTTTAATTCAAAGTTAATGCCTCGGTGTGACGCTGCGCCATCGCCCGCGCTCCGTACTCCGCGCTCGGCGTCATGCGGTATATACGGATATATGTTGGTGCGTTGTTGCTGCTCTCTGTTTGCAGTATGTGTGTGATACATAGTTTGTATTAATTTGTACGAGCATGTCCGGTGTGTGTGTGTGTGGCTTAGGCGTGTAGCTTTAAAAAAATTGACGCAATACTTTTGACAAATATACTCGTACCGAAAATTATGTAAAATGCCAATTAAGCAATTTGAAGTAATATGCAGTCGCGTTTAAGTGCATAGCTGGCGTATGCAGTGTTGGAAACTGGCTATATTTGACAAATGCATAATAAGAAGAAAAAACTAAGAAGTCCGCTTACTTATTAAATTGTTATCCATGAAAATGTAATTGACAAGCACAGAATTGAAATCAGGAAATTCAGGAAACGAGTATATTAATTGATAGTCAACTTCAAGGCGACCTATATTTTTTAGTTACTTGTGGCAACACTATTTAATTTTCGTTTTGACGGGTGTAATTCATATTATTAATTTGTTATTGCATGAGTTTAATTGTTGTGGTAAGCCACAAGATGAATGAAATTTAAAGAAAATCTTAGTTTTTTGGCGATAGGGTAAAACTTAAAATATTTATTATTACTAAAAAATTAAATAATTGCTCGTCTCATATTTTAACTTAAAGACTTTCCAGGATTGTTTTAAGCAAAATGTTCGGTTATACACAGGTATTATAACGAAAATTTAGTTGGTTCTCAATAGTCCAGAAAACTTATACTTGTATGTATATCAGCTATGCATCCATTAAGAATTTTGTTGAGATTGCCTCAGGCTGGTTTTTATCATAGCTATTCTGAGTAATTTTGAAACACCACTTGCTAACCATCCGATGAAAAAACTGAAAACAAACTTTCTAAATTATATGTATAGGCAAAGCCTACTTTATATATAAGTTATTTTTCGTGCTGGGTATCGTTATTTTCAATCAATAAATCAGCGGTAGTTATAAGGCATTTCTAAACTATTGATGGATGTTCTCTGTAACTCGAGCGTCTACACACATCTTTATAATGATACCAGTTCGATATCCTCGAACATAATAGAAACCAAAGTTCTGATATTTGAGACCATGGTTCAATAAAACTGGTTCGGAAGAAAATGAAAACCTTAACAGAATGAAAAATGCCATAAGACGGTTTGGCAAAAATCTGAAAGGCCTGCGGCCAGAATGCTTAGCAACTGAAATAAAAAACTCAGTTTCAGTAATTAAAAATTGTGAACTGACCTGTTTGAGGTTCGAAAAAAAATTAACAAATTAATGACAACAATTTTAGCGCAATCACGCATGTTCTTAATTGCCTATGCGTGAATTAATTAAGAAACGCTAGCAGCGCATAGTAATAAAACAGCTGCTAACTACAGGGTGTCAGCAACTAAAAGAAAAAAAAATGAAAAAGTGATTATTTAAAAACTAAATCATTTAGAATTTTTTTTGCAAACGCGATTGAAACGATTTCCTAGACATGTTTTGCAAAAACTGCGAGTTGATATAAATGTGTTCAGCGAATTGTAAAACTTCTGCGCGTCTAGACACCCAGAAACTGCATAACTAGCACATTATTTTTTCTATTATACATTAATTATATTTTTTACAACTTTTTTACTGTCTGGCGACATTAGTCAGAATTTTCAGTATTTTCGCTATTCATATTTCAATGGTCAACCAAAAATGTGCCCCATCATCACTACCAACTAACAAACACTTTGGACAAGTTACTTGCGCATAGCGACAGCTGGCGGTTGTAGCTTTTGCGTAAATTGTGCAATTGCGCATCTTCTAGCAAGATTTATCGGCCGTTACCAGTTTTTTTTTTACAAGTTTGTGTGTGTGTGTGCGTTCAACAAAGGCGAATGTTAACAACATTGCGTCTTAAGTAGGTGGCCCAGTCAAGCGAGCGTGACCAAGTTGCAAGCGAGAGTGATGCGCCGCCGGTGCTGTTTGCGATGACCTTCAGTTAATGTTGCTGTTGGTTTATGCGTTTTTTTGTAAATAAATTTTACCATCACTTGTTTAATTGTGTCTTCTTTTGGTCGCTGAAGCTATAGAAATCAAAGAGGCATTGCAAATTAGCCATATTTAGTAATGTCGCGTATTACGCAATCTGCAGTTGACAAATCGACATTTAGATTGAGCGTCCCCAATGTATTGAGCAATCACCGAAAGTTGATTGGCTTAACGATCTTAAAGAGTTTTTTTTAATTTATTGATATGCTTGCTTGAATTCGATATATTCTTTGGGGTCATTAATGTAGAAATCGAGAATTGCAGAAGTAGAGGAGTTTGCGAACTTCAAGTGCACATCAACTGGTTTTTGACAAATTTATAGTCAAATGTGATTGTGAGGGAACAACTGTTCTGTTTCTTTAATTTTTTGTAGAAGAGTTTAGTTCATCTTCCTTAAAAATCTTTGAAGTGTTTTAATTTAATCATTATCTACGCCTATCAAACACTTTTAGTAACTGAACAAGTGGAACACTAAAAAAATGATTGAAATCAAAGGTTAATACGATTTTCGTACTCTGAACAAGTAGAATATTTATTATAGAGTGATTTTTTAAAAGTTTTATAATGCTAAACAGCACTAATGACGTTGCTGAAAGTTATTAGCAAATTATGTTTTAAATACTGCACAAATTGAAAAGTTAAACCCTGTAGTTTAACTGACATTTCATATACGGAACTTATAAAACGTTAACTTTAATAGCAATAAGTAATCTTTTTTTCAAGCATTTGCAGACATGCATGTTAAGCAGACAATAGCTTTCTGAGCATAAAAAATCTTAATTGGCCAAACATAGATCCTTTCTCTTTTCATTCAAACCTAACTTAAGTAATTTTGTTAGCAATTTATAACTAATTGAGCTAATTTTGAGCAAATCGAATGTAATGTCTACAAAATATTAAAATTTCTGCAAAGTTTTTGATGTAAATTTAAAATAAAGTCTACTCTACAATTAATACCAACAATTTAAAGAAAGGAATTAATAAATTATCTGAAATTACTAAAAGCAGCTGCAACACAGGCACTGAATAATTACATGCGTAATTAATTTTGGTTAGAACAAAGATTTTAAATTTACAGTAGAGTAAAGTAATACTCAGCGCAGCGTGTTACGCATGCGCAAAACTTTTAAGAACAGACAAGCCATTATACAACAATTGCAATTAATTAAAAATACTTTTTTAAATGCTCTTACATATATAAAAAGATATATGTGACCAAGCCATCAAATAAAATTGGAAGCAAAAAAAAAAATGTTGCTTGGCACATTTAGTTGGACTTTTAAACGGGTTATCGACATTAACGCGCCGCTGTGTATTGCAATCAAGCGTCAAACCATTTGTTCAATGTCCAACGCATAAATGCGTACAAACAATCATTTTATCAAATGCTAATAAATCAAAATAAAAAATTACAAGCAGAAATAAAAAATGTGCGAAGTAGATAAGTAAAGTTGATATACAAATAAGTTGTAAGGCAAACAGTAGTTCGAAAATTGTTTGAAAGGTAAGCACAAGCCCATACAGCTGCCACATGTTGCATTAGCCGATTAGGTGTAAAGGCGCATACTACTCGCACTTTTATTTAAAGCTTACATTTGTATTTCGCTTTGGAACATGAGATAGCAGCGTTACTAGTCATTTGATTGCGTAAAATTTGACAGTTGACAACATGTAATTGACAACGGGGTGTTTAGAACTACAATTAGTAAGTTTAGTTTCTACAATTTTTTAACTTTATTCAATCGTTATATCCAGATGAACACATGGATTATATTTGTTTGCTTAATTAAATGATTAATTATTATGTTTAGCAAGTAAATAGTTTCGATAAAGTTTTAATAGATTTCCCTAATGCTTTAACTCTTATAAATATTTATGAGTTGGCAACGCTGTCAATTACGTAAGCCAACAAAGCGATTAGGTACGTAAACTGGCACTTTAAGTGCCTGCAAATCAGCTTATAATAACTCAGTTACAAAATAAAACAGTGAAAAAGGTAAATAAATACGTATAAACGAAAATATTTAGCATATAACGGTTATTAGCTCTACATATTATAATAATAGTATTTTGTTCAAAATAATTGTGTTTAAATATTTCACTTAAAACATATTGTGTAAACAGCGCCTTATAATCGCGTTTTGTTTATCGATTGGTAATGTCAACGAAAAATAACAAAGCGAAACATGCGTAAATTTTATAAAAAAAATTTAAAGCTAGTAAATTAAATATTTTTTATATCTTTTTTTTTATTAAACTATATTCTTACTTATCACTTGCCGTTATTTTTGTGTGCTTTTTTTTTGCTTCTGTGCTGCATATATGCTTGTATATTTCGACTTTTGTTGCGCGCTAGTTGGTTTTTCGTAATTTTTTTTTTTGATTGCGAAGTGGCACATAAGTTGTTAACTCATAATTCGTAATTTGAATGGACGGATATAAATAAGTATTTGAAAGAAAAAATTTAAATGCCGTGAAATTTATGATTTTTCTATTAAACTATTACTACATTGATTTGTTTATATAATGTAATACAATCGATAAATTGTGTTTATTAACAATGGCAAGCTTAATTGTACTTCTGTAGTAGTAGAGTCAGAACGAATTGTAAAAAACGAACAAGTGGATTGTTTGTTGGTAGCTGATACAAATCAACAGTTTTCAGCTGGAAGTCGGAGTGAGGGAAATATGATTTTCAATTTAAAATTATCTAAATAAGGAAATTTTATATCGAAACCTTCTAAATAACTTTGTGAAGGTTAAAAATAACAAGGCAACATGAAAGCTGATATCGTTACTGAGTATACGGTGTTCCAACTTTCAACTTTATAAATACTTTATAGTTAAAAATATTCTAAAATTTAAAAGATGGTAAGTTAGCTGTCGAATTAGAAAGTAAAGTAGTAGAACTCAAGAAAAATGCCGGTTTTAAATTCACTATATGTTTCTTATATTCGAACTAGCTAAGCTTTGCTTTTACCTACATAAAATACTAAAAAAGACGAATGCCACAGGGTTTTAGTTCACCGAAATTAATATAACGTATGTTTATACCATATCGATAGGGTAAAGAGTTGACCATATTTTTAATTTTTCACATTTGTGAACACAATTGCGCTTAATTAACTCATTTGAAAGATAAATAGTATTATTATAATTATCAGAAACCTGTTAAATACGTGACTATATTTTATAATATTATATATATTATTATTTTTTTGTAGACCGTACTCACCCTCGATATAATGATGCCAGCAATACTAATGCGTATCTTTGGGCCTTTTAGTAAACGATAGCGCAAATCAACGCCGTTCCAGAATGAAACGAAGTAACGCTTTACCTGGTGAAATAAAAGAAAAGAAATAAAAAGAACAAAAGTTAACAACAAAGTGATAAACGCTGCACCTAGATAAACAGAAAAATAGCTGTATAAAAATTATAAAAAATAATGCACAATTATTCTGACAAATAATAAGTGTTCTGCAAAATAATTATTTTGACTGAGAATCTGCCGTTAAGAAAAAGAAGAAACCACATATTCCTCTTTTGCTGTCTGCCGCGTAAATCCATAAAGAGTTGGAATGCGTGCGCGGCTTGTTGCAGTTGACTGACAAGCTGCCGACAGCTGCTAGCTAGATTTGATTTATGAAAACGCGATAATGAAAGATTCGTCTGTGGGAGTTAATGTGGTAAAATGTATGGCGTAAAACTCAAAACGTGTGAGCCGATGAAATGCCGCCGAAGCGTAAAGCAATAAATTGAGTGGTATGTGCCGAAGCAGCTGATTAAGTGATTATGTTCTTGGAATTTGATGTTATCAAAAATAATGCTGTAAGCTGAAGTGCCAAGGGGTAAGTATGTTTTGTGATTCTAAGAGTGACGCAATAAATGAAAAATGTGGAAGAGAATGCAGTATAGCAGACCTAGTAATACCAAATCGGTTTGATTACGCTTATTTCGTATAAAATATAAATAAAATAAATAAATTAGATCTCTTCGTTTTCAATTGACACATTTTTGTGACTGTCATGTATTTATTTATTTCCATATTAAAGCGTACCCACTAATAGTTATCGATATTCGATATACATTTACAAGTGAAACACTAATGCTGCTTTTATACTCCACAAAAGAATATACTGCGCGTATATACTTGTATGTACATACTTATTCAAATATAATTTTGATAGAAATTTCAAAGGCTAAACTAAATGTATGAAGTTTAATACATATACAGCAATATTTCGTAGGATGTTTGAATAAATATTATATATACTATCAATTACTAATTTGATACTTACTTGCAAATTGTCACCACCATGCAACCGATAACCATCATAATCGATGATGACCAACACTTCAGGATAGATAATATAAGGCAGTTGACGTCTGTTACGTGTAAATCTGGCTTCCGCTGACTCCAATTCACCATCCACATCCTCTAACGCTGCTTCATCGTCATCTTCGGCAGGCGCTGCGCGACGTTGGCGATGCTGTTGTAATCGTTCAAGTTTCTCGCTGGTAGCCAAATCATCGGGTTCCATAAAAGCTGCAAAGGAAGTGAAACAAGTTAATTAGGAAATCATAAAAAATTATGGATTTGTAGCATAAGGATTAATTGAGTGTCACGTGCCGTTTTTATGTAACTTCAAAGTGTGTCGTAACTAAATATTTATAATTCATTTAATAACGTAGTATACATAAGAATTGATTTAGTTCACTGCCCTAAAATTTGATGACTAAATTATGTTCCGAAAATTTCCGCGTTTTCGGTAGTTGAACTTTTAATGAACTATAACAGTTAAGAAGTAATTTAAAAAATTAATTTTTAAATACGAACAAAATTCATTTCAGTTGAGTACTTTAGTGCGCTGCAGTTCTTTTGAGTAGTGCAGCTTGTAGTTATTGGTGATTATGATATCCATAAAAATTTTAGCAGTTCATTAACACACATATTTATAAATGGAAAAATTGTCTTCCAAAAAACACTTAAATTTTTTTAAAATATTTTTTTCTTCGTTACCCTTTTACTTTAAATTTGACAGTCATAAAAAACCAATTTATTTGCTATAGCTTGCTGACTGAAGGTTGCTACAACTGCGGGTTGTAATCTAGGAAATCGTTGACTTTTCGGTTTTATCGCGTGGGCAGCAATGAGAAAGAAATAAAAAATTTGAAAAGTCTTATTGTAAAAGGCAAACAAATTAATTTTTTGCATTATTCTTTCACTTTCCTTAGTTTTTGTCGCGTTTGCTTATTCTTCAGTTTCTTTACTTACCGAAGTCGCTCAAATGCTCTAGCGATTGTGCCTCACGTTTATAAACAATGTGATGTGCGGTATCTGGATTTGGGCTCAGCTCGTGCGGCAGCGGTTTTATCACCATCTCATGACCAATGCTACCCTCCTGTAAAGAAAAAGATAGTGGAAAATATTTAGTGAGATGAATTTTAAAAAAGTAAACTTATTAGGTTAACTTAAAAATAATTTATTTATAGAAATTAGTTTACTAATTTGAAAAATTGTTTTTGAGACAAATGTTTATAAAAAATATATTAACAAAACTTTATTTTTTTACTAAAATTATTATTTTTTTATTCTCAAAATTCATGATTTTACACAATTTTTATAATTAAATTAAAATAGGTTTTGGAAAAATTAAAATTGTCATCAAATGGAATTTTAATATTCTTACAAGTGATTTAATTATTTTATTGAATTCTTTTTATAATATTATTTTTAATAAATTGCACTTTTATTTTATTTATTTTCTTAAAGTTCTTTTTGAGTATCAAAAATTATTTAAATTGTTAAATTTTTGCTATTTTTTTTTTAATAGAAATTTCTTGAATATCACTTAATTGTTTCATTAAAAAAAGTTAATATAATTTTTACAATTAAAAGTTTTAATAAAAGTTTATTACTATAATTTTTTTCTTATAATTTAAGTTTTATTATTTTTTAAGTAAGTATACTTATTTCTAATATAATACTTGTATAATGGAATGATTGCACGTTTCTTTGAAATTTTGATAAATTCATATTTTTGAAATCTTTTTTTGTATTTTATATAATTTTGTTTAGTTATTAATTTAAATATTAACCTATGTAAATCAAAAATATTAATATTTGATATGTTTCTTCATTATTATATTCTTCAACATATGCATATCTTAAAGTTTAATTTTTTTATATTATATTAGGTCAAGTAAAAAGTTCGTTCGGTTTTTATCTAAGAGATGGCGTTATTGTCCATAGTATTACTGTTACGCGTCGCATCATGCCATACTATACGGTGCTGAAAACGTGTTTATTCGCGCTGAAAGTTTGTCTTTGACAGTCAAAGATGGACACCAGCAAAGAGAAAATTCGCTATATTTTACAATTTTTCTTCGATCAAGGCGAAAAAGCAGCCAAAGTGGCTGAAAACATTAATTTAGATTATGGGCCTGATACTGTAAGCGAACGTGTAGCAAAAGTGGTTTGCTAGGTTCCGTTTCGGTAATTTCGATGTCAAAGATGCACCACGCGTCGGGAGGCCTGCCGTCGAAAATTGCGATTGAATCATGAAAATAGTGGAAACAGACCGTCACGTGAGCACTTATTTAATTGCTGAGGAACTAAAGATAAACCAGAAAACGTTTGGAACCATTTGCATAACCTTGGATTCAAAACGGAGCTCAATGTTTGGGTGTCACACGAACCAACGCAAAAAACATGATGGACCGAAATTCCATCTGCAAATCGCTGCAGAATCGCAACAAAATCGACCCGTTTCTGAAGCGGACTGTGACTGGCGATGAAAAATGGGTCACTTATGACAACATCGAGCGCAAACGGTCGTGGTCAAAGCTCGGGGAAGCGGCCCAGATGGTGGCCAAGACCTGATTGACGGCCAGGAAGGTTTTGCTGTGTGTTTGGTGGGATGGGCAAGGAATCATCTACTGCGAGCTGCTCCCCTATGGCCAAACGCTCAATTCGGCCCTCTACTGCCAACAACTGGACCGCTGGAAGGCAGCACTCATCCAGAAGAGGCCATCTTTCATCAACAGAGGCCGAATTGTGTTCCATCAGGACAACGCCAGGCCACACACGTCTTTGGTGACTCGCCAGAAGCTCCTGGAGCTCGGATGGGAGGTTCTAATGGCCTCAAGAGAGGCCTGTGAAAATTGGCTCTCCGAGTTTTTTGGCAATAGGGACGCAGTCTTCTACGAGAGGGGTATAATGAAGTTAGCATCAGTTGGCAACAAGTTTACGAACAAAACAGCGCATATTTGACTTAAATCGGATAAATGTACACAAAGTTATCATCTTTTGAAAAATCAATAAAAAACCGAACGAACTTTTAACTTTACCAATATTTTTTTAAACTTGCATATGTTTTTTTTATCATAAATAATTTAGTTATCTCCAACATTTAAACTTGGCCGTGATATATATAATTTGAGTTTCAAGGCATAGCTGTATTTGCTTTTTATTTAATTTTTATGCTTATAAATATACATTTGAATACAAATATATACAAGTATATGGTATATATATTTCATAATGCTAATAAAGTCAATTTTTTCGGTTAAAATGGAAAATAAAGCTCCGATAAAATCGCCCCTGCTTGCCTTAAAATGCAGTTTGTTCATTCTTGTGCATGATAACTATTATTAAGTTGGTTATTTAATTGGATTTTAGACCGTGAATTTGTGCGGCATTTCGTTTTAAGACAAATAAATTTAAATCAATAAATTTGAAATTGATTGCATAGCGTGCATTGTTTAGCATTTAAAACATATAAAACGAGTTCTGTTAACTATACGGTATTATGCATTAAATTTAATTAATTATATTGGCTGCTGTCAATATAAGAGTGGACATGGGCGTACACGTGATGTTAAGAGTTTATGGGTGAGACGAACGAGCAAATAAATTATTACTTTTCTCTATTTTAATTAATTTGTTGTAAAGTGAAAAAGTTTAAGAAAAAATAATTTATGGAGAATAAATAAATATTTGTTGAAAAAATAAATTAAACAATATAACTTTTTAGGAAAAAAAATTATGAGAATTAAAAGAAACCTAAAAATGTTGATAACTTATTTTTAGAAGACGAAATAGTGTGATAATGTACAATTTTATGACAAAAAGCCACTTCTTATTTGTTTTCTCAATTTATTAAAAAATTCAGTTGTCACATAATTTTTATTGTTCACAATTCCTTCAACCGCAAACTCAGTTAGTGATCGTAGTGGCGCCGCTACATTGCACCCAACAACAGGACAAGGCAAATGAACTTTAAATTTGCAGCCACCTTCCGCATTACACAACACACACACATACACACAGATGCAGGCGTGTATGTGCTTTTATGGTAGCAAGAGCATGCACTTCTACATTTTCGTTTAATTGGCATTTTGTCATTTTTTATAGCGAAACACAATGCGCAAATAAATATTGTCTGGAACCTTATTTAAATTGCTGGGACTTCTTTTTGGGATTTTTACAATTATTGTAAATTTTGTTGCATTGCATTTAGCGTTTTTTGGCATTACTTTTGATTTTTATGGCGACTTTTATGTCTTACTTGGCGTCGAAGTTTTTATTGTTTTTTAAAACTACTAAATTTTACAGAAAATCGAAACTTAAATTTTATTCTTTTTTGCATTCCTTTCTTACGCCTTCAACTTGATCTAGACTTTGCTCAAAATAAAAATAAATATTTTTCCAAACTAAAAAATTATTATAATTATCAAATTGTGAGGTTACATGAAATATGAATAAACTATTACTAACTTTAAAATTGCAAATCAAGAATAACGATATTATTATGTAATTTTTAAATTATATCAAGATATAAAAAAATATTGTTATATTTTAAACGTTTTAAAGATTTAAAAAAATTTTAAATAAATTTGAATTCTTATTTAATAAATATCTTAATTATTAAAATTTGTTTACGCATAAAAAATATTAAAATTTATTTAGAATATAAATATCATACATATAGTTTATTAGAGTATTATGTCATGTACGGCTATTTTTGTGCACATAAAAGAATATCGAAATATGCATTTAGAAAGAAATTTAGATGTTTCTTTTTAAATTTTTTATAAAGTTTTCTTCTATAAGTATGAAAAATTTGTATAGTTGTTGTTGTAAAACGCTTATCGTTTTTTGAAAATAGATGGTTTTAGATTTTTAAAATTTTGGAAATTTTTTAACTTAAAATTTTTTTAATACTGTTTTAGTACTGTTTAAAATTAGTCATAAATATTGGTACAAATTCCGAATTTTTTTTAAACATTTTTTTAATTTTACTAAATTTTTCAAATATTTAAAATTTCAAAAATTAACAGAATAGAAGTAATTTTTAATAAAAATAAATAATATTTTTAAATTTTTTTTATATGTACCTATGTGTATAAAAAGAGGAATTAAAAAAGAAATATTTTGGAAATTTTTAAAAAAATTTTCAAATATTAAAATTTAAAAAAATAATTAGAATAAAATTGTAGAAGTAGTTTTAATATATCAGTAATACATTTTTCATAAATTCTTTCTTAACACATTTAATACTATAAATTTAATACGTTTATTACAGTCAAAAGACTTAAGCAACAACTGTCGGTAAATAAATGCAATAAAAAAAATTTCCTTGCACTACATAAAATGCAAAACAAAAAAAACATTCGTGATAGCTAAAAAAATAAACAACTGGAAAACTGCACAAATTATCAACTGTCAGAAAGTATTTGCGAAACGATACATTACAATGACGTGAACATACGCCTGAGACAACGCCTATTGTGGAGTGTTTTGTTGCAACAATAACGTATGGTTTGCATAAGTGTAGAGACAAAAGACTTAAGACACGAACACGAGAAGGAAAAGTACGGTTTGTGGGTAAAAGATATGTGTTTAGTCAAATTAAATTTAAAAAAAATAGTAACAATTAAAAAAATTTTCCACAAAAAATTCCTTTACCCTTTATCAAAAAACTGCAGTGCTACACACATTTTGACAGCCACTGTAATGGCGGCAATATTAAAGCGTAATTTATGCTCACGCCGGTGCCATTCGGTGAACGCTTACCGCCTGCCTTTGAAACCAACTTAATTTAAAACTAAAATGCAGGAAAAAATAACAACAACAACTACTGCTGAAAGCCTTTAAGAATGTTAACTCAACATTGTTGAGTGCTGCAGAATTGCTCGCTGATTGCATCGACACGCCCTGAGTCGCCAGCAAGCAAACGAAAAGTAAATTTAATAAATTAGACTTTTGCACAGAGCAATGCGGAAAATATTTTCGGTGTAAAAAATGCACAAATAAAGAAAACTGCAGAAAATGTAATGGAAATCCAGTGTCGCATAATAATTTATTGGCTTTGGTGTGACACAATTTTTCGCTCGCGAA